CGTGAGTGCACCTGTTTGCTTTCCCTCCTCCCCTTGTGGGGGCAGAGTTAGGGCATGAGCGTGGCAGCTGCAGTGTTTTGTAAGTGGTTTGTCTCACCAAGAGGGCTGGTAAATTAGTTGGAATAACTTACGTCATAAGGTACCACGCTACAAGTTTTTCATGGGAAGTCAATATCCCAGTAAACCCAGGGAGGGGAAGACAGGGAGGGAGCAGAACGGCTGTATTTTCCAAACTCACTGAAGGAAGCCCACAGCTATTTAGAACTGCTTGGGAAAGAGGAAGGAGAGGCTGAGGGTTGGGGGAAAAGAGAGTTTCCAGGCTCAACGCATGAGGGATTATTGATCATCCCTGCTGTCCAGGTTGATCCTGCCCAAAGGCAGTACTGGAGCACTGGAAGCAAGAGGTGACCTCCACTCTCGGGCCATGGTAACCATGAAGGAAGCATGAGAGATCTGATTGTCTGTTTGCCACGGACATGGCTGGAGGGGTCCGAGTCTTAGCCACCTTTGGAGCCTCAGGGTGGGTTAGGAAGTTGTGTCTCCAGCCTTTGGGTGACACCGGGGAGTGCCCTTCAAGACACCTTTTGTGTCTTGAAGACAAACTTTCCTTTCCACTGGCTGTTTTTGGACCTCCCCTTAAGCTGGTCAGATTTTGAAAGAGAGAGTTAGTGTTTAAGGAGAGAAAAAAAGAAAAAGCCTCAGTGCACTGAAGTCGAGTTCCGCCCACGTAGCATTGGCAGTGTGGCATAATCTCCCGCCTGGTGTCTGAGTTTCCTCAGATTGCCTGCCGTACAGCTGTAGTGAGCTTGGAGCTTTCCCTCAGTTTCCCAAGGGAGAATGGGAGAAACCCTCCTTAACAAGAGAGAGAGAGAGAGAGAGAGAGAGAGAGAGAGAGAGAGAGAGAGAGAGAGAGAGAGAGAACGAGAGAGAGAGAGAACCGGCCTGAGTTCCACCATAGCTAGGCCATGGTGGGGGGGTCTCTCCTGGAAAACAGACTCCACTGGAGTGCTGGACACTCATGGTCACATTCCTAGGCAGCCTTTTCCAGTTTGGCACAACCTCTACTGACTTTGGTTCGGAAGAGACTGGGTCCCTTCGTGCATTGCCAAAATGTTACGTGCCAGTGTCGAGGGTCCTTGCCTTCGCAAGCCAGAGAACTGGCTTGTGAGGCAGCAAAAGTGTCTTTATATATTGATAATTTATGAAACACATTTAATAGACTCAAACATATTATCTTTTCAAAGAAGTTGAAAGGCCAGGACTACTCGAACTCATACTTAGCAAGTTTTTTTTTTTAGTATTTTAACATATTTATCAAAGACTCAGATGTTTAACCTGTATCATATTCATTTATAGACATCTATCACATTCACTTCACTCCCCTCTCCACCTTTTTTTTGGTGGTATGGAGTTTGAGCCATGCCTCTGCCCACCCCCCACCTCTGCCTTTTTTCCAGGTTTTTTTTGTTTTGTTTTAAATAGGGTCTCATGATTTTTGCCTACAGCAGGCCTTGGACAAAGATCTTCTTACCTATACCTCCCCAATAGCTGGGATCACAGATGTACCATACACCTGGATTATTTGTCAAAATGGGGTCTAATTTTTGTCCAGGCTGTCCTAGGACCACCATCCTCCCAATCTCTGCCTCCTGCGTAGCTGGGATCACAGATGTGAGCCACTGTGGCCAGCCAGTTATTTTTAGATTAACCATGAAATTTAAGACATCAGATAAGTATAACCAAAATCTGTAAGTCATTTCTTTGCTAATCAACTTCCCCAAATTATTATACTACCTAATTCTAGATTTCTCTTTCCTTTTCTTCAAGCTTGACAGGCCAAGAAAAAAGTAAACTTGTTATCCTAAGGTTTTTTAAATGCAGCTTTAAAATCAGTGCTCCCTTAAACTTTGTGATGAGAGGGAAGAAGTGAACAAGGCCTGAAAGTGACAGGCCTGAGAATCCCAGTCATGTCACAGAACATGTGGCTTTAAAACCGCACAAAACAGCAATGTGGGAAGAATCACCAAGATTGAGGAGGATTTGAAAACATTCGTTTCACAAATCCTAGGCCCTAGGCCAAAACTCCTGGGTTTCACAGGTCAGCTCTGGCCATTTCCCAGTACAACAAGTAGACAAGTAACGATGGAGGACAGAGAAAGGAGATTTAATTAAGGCAGCAGGAAAGGAATGCATTTCAACCCATCTTCCTCCAACAGACATTTGTTTCAGGTTTAAGTAGGAGGAAAAATTATTGTTTATACTCTCTAACAAAATTAGAGATAAGGGCAAAACAATTTCTGCCTGGAAGTGAGGGCATAGGGGGGAAGAGGGAGGGGGCAGGGGAAAGGGAAGGGGTGGGGGGAAGGGGGAGAAATGACCCAAACCTCGTATGCACATATGAATAAAATAAATAAATAAATAAATAAATAGGAGGAAGAGTCGGGGCGGCCGGGGCAGGGGAAGAGGGGTATAGACAGGAAATAGCTATATTCCTGCCACAGGGTGTCTATCCATCAGTCCTATTCTTCCTGGATTCCAAGATGACTGCACACAACTGTAGAAGAGAACCACTCAGAGCAAAGGACAATGGAAGCTGGGATGCTAAATTTTATCCTGCTTTCACTTAATTCATGGGCCCAAGTAGGAAGTCAGTGCTTTTCGGCAAAAGCATTTTAAGTACATGTTACAATTTGACAAAGAAACCAGATTTTGCCTGGATTACAAATATTTATGAAATACTGTGTGCAAAAGGCATTTTCTTCATCGAGTAAGTTGTAAGTACAGCAAGTAAACAATGAAAATCAGCCCCATACTGGGCACTAGAAAAAGGCCCACCTTTCTCCTTTGAAAACCTGGTCACACACCAACTCTTTTTCTTCTGTCAAACAGGGGCCACTGGAATCCCAGACCCTCAACAAAACAATGTGATGCCTGGGACGTTTATTAGATGATTAGTTGAATAGGAGGAAAAACCGCCTTCTTTTCCATTTAGTTGAGCTTATTGTTTAAACAAGGAGCCTGTCTTTGGAGTCTATCACCATTATGCTCTGTAAGAAGCTCTTGGGACTTTTTGATGGGCAGAAATCCTTCTTATGACCTGGTCTTCCTGTTTCAGTCTCTTACATGAGACAGACTCCAGCTATTGACAGAAATGTTCAAGTGGCCGTGAAGTCTGGAGCCCAGAGGTGATTCACCTGCCAAACAGGATCAAGGGTGAAGGGCAAAGATCAAAGGCCAGTGTCCTGTGGTTTCCCCTGCAGCAGCTCCCAGTCACCCTTAATGGATATATTAATAGAAAGAGGGGACATGGTGGGGGTGAGGGGAAACTGACCTGCTGAAAACACATCAACAGATAAACTCTTCTTTTGTTAGGAGGCTGGGAACAGAAGGCCGAGGTCGTTGGGGTCCCAGACATGGTGAGGCTGGGTAAGATTCTTACTGCTATTATATTTCCAGATCTGCCAAGTTGTGCTTGGGGATTAGCAGGACACCCCTTTGTCTTTTGATGTCCTTTAAAATAGAAGGTATTCTAACTCTGACAGAGATGGCAGGAACTTCTCTGCTCCCAGACCAGTGTGAGCCCTGCTGTGCAAACCACTGGCATTTCATGATCTAAAAAAACCCCAAACAAAACCTCCCCACACAACAAAAACAGTCCACAAAGTGCATTCCGATTTCATGGGGCAAATGGAAACACATTTAAAACAAAATAACCAGAGCCATACCTTTCCCATCTGCTTACCTGGCTAACTTTAGGATCTAGGCACATCCCTTCTACCAAGTGGAATAAACATTACACATCTTTAGCCGGCTTAGATTATTTTACGATATTTACCTCCAGGCACGAAGTCCTTTATCTCGTCACCTCAAAAAATATTTAATCCACTTCCATTTTAATATGAGTATCCTACTTGACCCATCCATGGCTTGACATCAATGGCCTGAGCAACACACCCTCAGCTCACTGTGCTCTCTGTACTCCTGGTTTGTTTTGCCTTTCTCTCACAGCCTTTCCAACATATGCTGCAGGACTATTTTTATTGTTCTTTAACAGCTGGACCCTTTTCCTCTCCATCTGTCTCTAAGTCTATTTGTAGGCATGACTCAGGCCCATCTTCCTTCTCCAGGAAATTCTCTACTTATATAACTTTAAAAATGGCCAACAAGAGAAAAAATAAATGGCCAAAGAGGCTTAGCTTCTGATTTGATCTATCGGTTATTAGTATTAATAAGATTAATAGTTTTCTGGATATAAACCAAAAGCTGTAAGCTCACACCTAATTGCAAAATGCTGTAACATAAAGTCAGTATTTGCTGTCACTGTGTTAATTGAGAATAAAATTAATCTAGCCAGAAACAAATTATTTTGGGGGCCAATTAGGATTGCAATATAAGAAGACACAGATTCAAGAAAGTCTTGAAAATGTGCTGAGATTTTACAAAACGGCAGCTGTATTAATAGCTTTAAGCTGAGTTGGTTGAAAATTACATCACTTGTTAGCAATCGTGATTGGTGCTGGAAAAAGTTAAGCTGTCACAGAAGAAAGGTTGAGGGTGCAGTCTCAGACTCTGGTGGGAGAGGTCTGGTTGTACTGGTCAGCAGAAGTTAATGTTTCAAGTAACTGTGGGTGGGCCCAGTTCAAAGACTCATCTGGGAGTGTGTCAGAGATCTGCTTAATCGTGGCCTCCCGACTCCATTTAAGGTGTCCCAAACCAACGCTACTCCAAATGATTTTTCACAGACACAATCTGTAAAATTTGGTTAATTTTGTCTTTTTCTTGTTTGTGCCTATAGTTAATAGGTACTTTACAATGATGCCCTTATAAAACAGCTGTCTCAGTTTGCCATTTACTGTTGGCAAATGGCTTAACATCACATGTTGGTAAACACTTCTTCTTTGCGGAATGCGTGGTTTCTTTGTAGACTGCCCACAACCCCTAAAGTTGCTCTCCACTGGGTGCACATCCAATACAACAAACACAAGTAGCATGTGGTCAGATTCAATTTATTTTACTCAATTTAGCCTCAAATTCAACTAGTCATTCTAATAAGTGAGAAGATTCAAACACCAGAGTCCACAGGCTGTGCATGAACCTTTGCTTTGCCGGTTGCTAACACCCATTCTTGCGCAAGTGTGCAACAGGAGGTTACCCAGTGTGGATGACACCATTCAGCGTAAGATAATTACTCTTAGGCTGACTGGAAAACATCACTGAAACAAAAACATTTAGAGATGCTCCCTACTTTTTGTAATTAATACCTGTGAGATTTAATTCTGGTTAACAGAAAAAAAGAGTTCTCATAGGCCAGTCACATCACTCATTACTGAACACTGAAATAAACAGTTCACTTCAAGGTAGTTCCCTGCATTGCACATTATCATACACAATTCTAAAGCTGACTTTTCAAGTTTGGAAAACACACTTGCCTTTTTTAGTTTCTTGCTAAGTGATACATGCTCCTTTATAAGGAAAACTATCCTATGTAGGCCTGAATTTAACATTTAAATTCCTGCTCATCAACAGTTGGCTACACTAGAGTGCACAGGTGTGGGTAACAAGGTATAAAATCTGCCTTAAACGTTCAGGGTGGCCAGGCAGAGTCCCCACAACAATGGCCTTAAGCCACTAGCAGCATCTTCATCACTTGACCCCCTGAGCTGGAAACATTGCCTAAAGCCACAGTTTATGGGAGAAAAATGTGCAAAAACCATGGGTACAACAGGTCCCTTATTGTCTTCCTGTGATGTCCTTACCTGGATAGTAAAAGCTTTGAGGACATCCCCTACATGTTTAAAACACAGCAACACCCACAAGAGCTATGGAGGGAGCATTTATAGTTGGGAGTCTTCCAACTAAGATTTCACAAGATTGTGTTTGACAAGACCTTTAGCGAGCCCCCACTCCAATTTCTTTTGCTCCCTACTGCAAGTATAGAGTTCACTGCCTTCTTGGTCAGCCTTTAAATGATGTAAATCCTTTTTCTCCTTCGCTTATCTCTTATCCTACCTGGCGTCATTTAGAGGAACTCGGTGCCTTCCCCTCCATGGCATAAACAGAGCTGTGAGAACCTGCATGAGACCTTCTCTGGAATATGGTGTGCTGACTGCAGACACCTCAACACATGAGCTCCCTTGATTTTTCTTTTTTTTTAATTAGGGAAAAATTTCTACCTGGTTTGGTAGAAAAGTGATCCTGAAAATAATCTAGAAGCAGAGGTAAGAAGTGAAAGTCTGGTGCCTAAGAAAATACTTTCCAAATGAAGCTTGGTCATGTCTCTTGTCCATCTTCTTGTGTCTAAGAACAGTAACTATGTTACTGAGTTCAAAGGATGGAGCTGCTTATTTCCTGGAATGATTGTTCTTGCAGGTCAGTGCTATTGTTTGGATATGGGATGTCTCCCCAGAGCTCCTGTGTTAAAGACTGTCCCCAGCTTGGCACTATTAGGAAGAAGTGAAACCTTTAAGAGGCAGGGCTTGGTGGATGTCTACTAGTCATTGGGCCATTCCTTCAAGGGAATGTAGGAACCCAGCCCCTCCTTCTCCTCTCTCTCTCTCTCTCTTGATCTAGGCCACAAAACATGCTGGTTTTGTTCCACCTGTGCTTCTGCCTTGATATGCTGCCTCACCACAGGCCCCAAAGAACAAGGACAGCTGATCACTGAAACCTCTGTGGCCATGAGCCAAAATAAACCTTTGTCTAAGTTGACTATCTCACGTATTTGTTACAGTAAGGGAAAGCTAACACAGCTAGCAAGTTTTTATTCTATAAAGGGCCACTTAGAACATATTTTAGGCATATGGTCAAATTTTTTTTTTGAAACAGGGTTATACCATGTAGCCCAGGCTGGCCTGCAACTCATGATCCTCCTGTTTCAGCCTCCCCAGCCTGGCTAACTTTTTTTTTTAACAACTCTTTAAAAATTGAAAAACCATTCTTTGCACAAGAGTCTTCAGATCTGCGACAGTTTACCAAGCCCTGCTTCAGGGAGTCGTCAGAGGAACACAGGTGCCATGTATCAGACAGTCTGCACCCTGGAGCCCCAGTTTGGGGGCTTCTTCTGGACAATGAGGTAGGTCCCAGCAGCAGAGATGCTTAGGGTCTACTGAAAGCAGAACTCCTATTCAGTCTCCAAATTGCACAGAGTTGGACCAAAGTGGCATCTTGCATTTAAAAAGTGGCTATTTAAGGGGAGGAAGTCTTATTGTTTCAATCTGTTCCTCTGCTGGCTTCTCCCTGCCCTCATTTTAAAGGGAAAACCACAGACTCTATGCATTTATAGATTTTCATTCTACAGCTATTAGGACCTTACTATTCCAACTGGCTGGCAGTAAAAAAGTTAAACATCCTTCCTCCTCACCACTGATGTCCCCATAGCCACAAGGACCCCCAACCCCCTTAGAAATAAGGAAGTACCAGCCTGGTGCCCTGCTGAAGTATTGATGACAGGCTCATTTGTAGCTGGATTTAAGACACCGGTGGCCAGCACTCCCAAAGTTGGCTCTGTTAAATTCACAGGGATGCTTATTCCAATTACGGGCCTCTGGAACAAGACTCTACACATCAGTGGCTGTAACACCGGACACCTCCCTAACTTGCCACCAGTAACTTTCTCATTACTATTCACTTAAGAGAGTAAGAAAATTTGTATTTCTTTCATATTGTATGCAGTATGTCATGTTATAACTTTTTTTCTAAATGAAAGAGAACTTCAGAATCTAAATAGTCTATAAGCAGTGATCTCCTAATAAGCAATTAATGGTTCTCAAAATACACATTTGCTACCAACTACATGAATTAAACTGTTTTGGTACCGGAAAATGTGTGTACTCAAAAGAACTTCTTAAAAAAGCTATGTATGAGAAGGTGAAACATTTTAAATGAACGGTTAAAAAAACAATCAATCTTACATGTGCCAATTAACTGTCCTTTTCAGAGTTTGGCTTAAAATGTCAAATGTGTTTTCTGTGAGTTTATTTCTTGTATTAAATTCTGACTCTTCCCTTAGTGTGGATTTACAGTGACAATGCCAATGAGCCAATGACAACTGAACCTACAACAATGACAATGAGAACTAGTCAAGTGACACATGGGGTTTCTCAGATAAAACTGCTAAGCAACTTTTAATTAAGGGAGGAAATATCAACTTTGAGCTGGAAGAAACTGGAGACAGTTAAACAAGCAAAATGATGCTCCTAAGAAATACCGAGGTGCCCAAAAGTGGGTGTCAGCTGTAGGTCTAATAAAGTTGAAACCAGTGAAGTGTTATGACTTCTCCAATTTTTTTTTTTTAACACAAAGTGCTGTAAGGCTGCTGGGACAATGAGATGAAGAAAGTTACTCCCGGCGGTCAGGAAAAGTTACCAGCAGTGGGGAGTTTCCTAAACTGTGAAGCGCGTTTCCATAGGAACATCTCCACAGTGCTCAGCACCTGTCACTCGCACAGCACTTGTCAGTAGTTCACACTGTTCATGTCTCTTGACTATCTGTATTGACAACCGTTACCTTCTGGTACCTACTGCTACCTATTTTGGCTATGAATGAGTTTGAATTTGTAAATCTGTAAAGAAAACATAAAACAACAGACCTGAACAATAAATAAGAATGAAACTGTACTTTCTGTAGGCTGGAGCTTTTGAGAAAGAAACAGTCAGGACTCTAATTTGCTTTCTGGTTCTGTGCAAGGATCACTCTTCTATTCTATCTCCACTGACAGAAAGTATCTCTTCCACTACTTCAATATCAAAGTGCATTTGTTGAAAATTTAACATACCTTAAAGAAAACCAAAAATCTTACTAATTTCTGGCAGATGTCCTATGCAACAAAAATCAAGTGAGTTTCCCTTTTCCCTTCTCCTCAGTTTGAAGGTGGATGCAAAACAACTAAATGCAATGCCGCCAGACAGCAGGGCTTACAATGAATGTTGTTTTAACAAAAAAGGGAAAGACAAAACCATCTGAGCATACAGAGGAGAAACCCTGAGGCAAAATGGCTTTTCCTGTAGAAAGTCTTCCTGGAGCTGTGTGCCAGCTCACAAGGGGCCCGCACCCTTCTGGGAGGGCAGGCCCTCCTCCAGCCAGAGCACAGCTGCAGAGCTGCTGCGCAGGGCCCGCTGGTGGAAGCGCCGCAGCCGCAGCAGGTAGAGGAGGATGGAGAGCAGGACCACCAGGAAGCAGCCGGAGAACAGGTAGTGGTTGTAGACAAAGGAGACGCCCCGCCAGTGTGCGTGACTGGCCCGGAAGCCCTCCTGCTGGATATCCCTGGCCGAAAGGAGAGAAAACAACAGAAACACATAGGATGGTAAGAGGGTGCTGACTCTGCAGGTAAAGCTGGGAGCTTGGTCACTGGGTCTGTTTCCTTCCTTCTGAAATGGAGAACAGTAGTCCCAATGTAGGGTACCTGTCAACCCTACGTTGTTAATGCTGAGATAACTCATGGAAGTTTATTCACAAGTCCCTAGCCTTTGAGGGTTTCACTAATACATGAAGTCCAGGTGAAATCAACAGTGTGGAACTTTTTGTGATCATTAATTCCTACTGAGCACAATTTTTGTAACAGAGCCAACTAAAAGGCTGTTGAACAGTGCTCACTTAAATGGGGGCATAAAGCTGATCTCATTTATCAGTTAACCAAGGTGCTTAATATGGGGTGAACTGAGCTGGGCCTGTGAACTTGAATGGGGAAAAAAATACGTGTCTTTATCAACCTTAGATGGAAATTCAGTATTTCTTTTGGTCATGAGTGTAGACAACAAGTATTACAGTGTTTCCAGGACCCCTGACTTTATTTTTAATGAAACTACATATTTTTTACATCCTATTATGGTAGCTGAGGTCTCAAGACAGCATCCCTACACAGAAATACTCAGTTCTTCTGCCAGACCTTGATGTTTAATGTGCTAATAAAGAACACATATTGCTCCGTCACAAATCTGTTTCCTGTAAGTTGATAATTGTATTTCAATATGATACTGACAAATGGTATTGGAGAAGGAAGTCCACGGTCATGAAGGTCAAGGTCCCTGATTTAACCCTTTTTGCAGGGGCTAGGGAACACACACAAAAGCACTGTGCCGAGGGATGGGGAGGTGGGGAAGAGCAGATGTAAGCCTCCCTGACTTCCCAGTTCTGCCCACAGACAGCTCTGACAGCAACACTCAGAACATCCACATGGCGCAGGAGTGCTTTGTGCTAGGAGGTGCTCCAGTGCAGAAAAGCGTCTTTTTGATTCTCCGTACCAAATTCATAGCTTACCTCAAAGGCAAAAAGCGGGTCCTGTACAGGATTGCTCCTAAGGTCCACTGCACTTCCTTGTCATACACCTGCAAGGCAGTCTTTAGGTTTTTGTAGCTGACAGGAAAGGAGAAGCCCCTATGGAACACCTCAAACATCCAGGCAGATTTGAAGCACTGATACCTACAAATATCAAACACAAATGTGAGTCTGATGGACTCCCTTGCCACAGTGGCACTGGGCAGAGACAGCACACAGGCTGCAGCAGGTTGGCTCTCAGAGCATCCAGCCAACTGTGCGCATTTCCAGCTCATCTACTTGGCTCTGGGCCCTTGTTCCACAACAAGAACACTTCACCCGTCAAAATCAATTAGCCTGTGCAATTTGGTCTCAGTATATTTAATCCCTTACCATGACAAATTTTTCCTCTGAAGTATTTCATCATTTATTTATTGAATAAACATTGAGCAAGTTCCAACCTCTTTGAACCTAGTTTCTTTATTACAAAATGAGAAGACAAGAAAGTTCTTTTCAGTTCTGATATTTTATGATCCTAAATGTTTATTAGAGGCTTATTTTTTTTGCAAAACATTATGCTAAGCAAACAATAAGATACAGTAAATAGTAAGATATGGTCACTGCACTTGGGTGAAAGGAAATTCACTTTATAGTGAAAGAATTTTTAAAAAGCAGCAAATAGCTATAAGCCAAGGCGGACTAGGAAAATGCATCAGAGGGGTATGATGAGTGCTCTGGACACTCAAGAGAGGATGGAGTCTGCCTGAGTGAACAGAGGAAGACTGGAAAGGGACAGCACCAGTGACCTGACTGATGTCTGCACAGGACTTGAGCAAGCAAAGGTATGAGCTGGGGGATTTCAGGGGCAAGGAATGGCAAAATTGAGCAAAAAAACAGCTATGTCTGGGAACAAGTATTTATCCTACTTGTCCCATTTGAAAGGAGCCAAGTACAGACAAGGAAAAGTGACTGAAGAATAAAAAAGTATCCTGGGGCTAAGACTGAACTAATGGTTTCTTAAAAGCAGCCTAGGCTCGATGGTCCAGTACTTACTTAAGCCGATGGAGGTCAGCGTGAGAGGCATACAGTCCTCGGTCAAAGCGTTCCCGCAAGATGGACCACTTTGTTGCACAATAATCCTGAAAGCAATTTCATCCAAAAGAAATCATTAGTAAATGCTTATTAAATCATTTAATTTTAAAATGGCTTATCAAGTACATATAACAAGCATCCCCTCCCAATTAGGAAAACACAAATGTGGTGCACATCTGTGCACAGTGAATGCAAGACTTGGGGACGCTCAGTGAGTATCTGCTGATTAGCAAATGCAATAACAGTTCTTTATCTTAAAAATTCTGCCAGCAGAATTGTTAAAGAGACTCACTACCCACAACCAATCTCTTCAAACTTGTTTAGTTCTCTCTCCATGACTGCCTTACAGTTCTAAGCTTCAGCAAAGCGAAGCAACATTTTAGCTGTTCAAACTGAGTCCCTGAGACTAGGGAAGATCTGAGCAAGATACTGGGGAAACAACAATGATATGTAGTAATGTTAAGAGCTAGCCTTTGTGTGCTGCTTCTGAATGGAACACCTAACCTCCCAACCTGGCTACTCTCTGAACCTCTCTTCCCAGGATAAATAAACTGAGCCTCAGTGAGGAGATGTGACAGGTAGTGGAGGGAATGTGCTCCGGCTGGGTGAGAAGGTCTGGAAGAGAAAGCACCAGGCAAAAAGCCCACAAAAGCCACATAGAGTGAGGGACTAACAGCTGCCTGACCTGAGGAAAGTACATACTGATGAGTGGGAAGATGATGCAACAAATGAAGGATGACACGCTAAGGTACACGGCTTCATCCTTCAAACACAGGGAAGCCACTGAAGATTTTAAACAGTAGAGCCAGGAGACTGTGCATATGCTTCAGACAGAATGCCATGGGAGAACGTGGAGGATGAACACTGGGAGAAGACTGGCACCATAGTGCCAGTGACAGACAGAGGTCTGCAAGAAGGCAATGACTGTCAGACAGGAAGTACATGGGCTTAAGAAATATTCATGGGGTGAAGTGGCTCAAGTGGCAGAGTGCTTGCCTAGAAAGCTTGAGACCTTAGTTCAAACCCCAGGACCACCAAAAAGAAAAAAGAAAAAGAAAAAGAAACACTCATGAGGGAAAACATCACTGGTTATGTAGGATAAAAGGAAGGGATGAAGGAGGGACAAAGAGAAGCCTAGGAAGCTGGGGAGGTAACTGAGGTAGAGGGCTTGCCTAGCATGTACGAAGCCCTGGGTTCCATCTGCAGCACGGCAAAAGAACGAAACAAAAACCAAAACCCATGAAAGAAGTCCAGACTCCTGAGTTGTGTGGAGGGAGGCTGGACCAAGCTGACATAAGAAGAGAAAATGGGGGAAAAACAGTAGGTTTATATGGAGCTGAGAAATCTAGCACCTAGGCAGGGTCTAGTCTGCCTGAGGGGCAATGGCATGGGAGGGACCATTTGACAAGCTGAGGCCAGTGCTACAGGGGAAGTCTAGAGTCGTAAGGCTAAAGGGGCAAGAGATGGGAAAATGCTGAAAGGTCCCGAGGAGGCACTGTTAGAAAGGCAAGAACAGAAAGATAACGTCCTGGCAGCTACGGGAGTGAGAAGGCTTCAGAAGAACCATCAGATTCAGCAAAAGTTGACAACCTAACCTAAGATTATCGCTGGGAGGGTCCTGGTGACCAGTGGTGTTACTGGAGTGTGGGGAGAAGCTGGCTTACAGTAGATTTTTCACTTCTTCTGTGACTATTTCTGCCCTCCCGCCCTCCACCCCAAGGCAACAGTGCTGCCTACATGTTCATTACAACCACCTTTCCCTCCAGAGTGAGGGAGAACATGGCCTGTCCCTGCCCGTGCTGTCTCCAAAGCACACAGAGCAGAGGTTTCTAGTCAGCTTACCTTTGCAGCTTTAGTGAACTTAGCAGCGCTGTAATCACCTCCCATTCGCAACACGTCCTCGGTGCAGTAGTAGAATTCAGAGAAGCCATAGAACTCACTGTTCTGGAAGTGAATTGGAGGCTGGTAGACCCCGTTGAGGGAAGTCTGTGTCTCATTGGTTTTGTTCATGAAAGGCTGGAGGGTCTCTCGACACAGGTCGAAGTCTCCTGTCCCCCGCAGGTACAGAGTCTGCCCATTTTGCTGGATCTCGTCTTTAATGTCCATGGGCAGGCAGGGGTCCAGGTATGGAGCTTCGGGAGCCAGACCAGTCTGCTTCCCCAGGAGCCTGTGGCACAAACAGCCATTTTATCATGCGACCTACATTATACTGTCTTTTGGAGAAGTCGCTGCAAGCCAGTGTTTCTCCATGTGTGCTGTGGAATGGATCCACAGCACTGTGTCTGTGGGAACACAAAGGGTTCCAAAAATGGTCAGGACACTTGGCACCAACCCCCTGCCCACCCCCCGGGACTCATGGTGTGCATTCCAACGTGGCCCACACGCTGACTGCATGCGGTAAGCACTCCCTGGAGTTCAGCCTGACCTGCCAGCTGCTGCCGGGGTCCGGCAACGGTTTGGCCCACCACCCTCTGCCACTAGTGCTTGTGATTTTAGCTGCATAGAGGGGTGAAGGAGGGCTCTAAGAGGAAGTAACTGGTCCTGCCAAACCAATTACATCAGAAAAACATGACAGATGCAAGTTGCCAGAAAACTATTGTCAAACTAGTTATGGGCAAGATTAAAAAGTTGAGAAAAATTAAAAATTCTAGAAGGATCTGGTACCAAATTGCCTTGCAAATGTTGTTAGGTCCTTGGAATTCTCCCCCTGCCCTTTCCCCACCCCGTACTAGGGATTGAACTCACAGCTTCAAGCCTGCTCGATGAGAACTCTATCACTTGATATGTACTGCCAAACGTTTTTTGCTTTTAGCTATTTTTTTCAGATAGGGTCTTGCATTTTTGCTCTGGGATGGCCTCAGATCAAAATCCTCCTACTTACACTTCCCATGTAGCTGGGATTACAGTTGTGCCCCAGCACACCAGTTTGTTTTTTATTGAGCTGGGGTCTCACACTAACTTCTTTTTACCTGGTCCTTAAATTGAAATCCTCCCATCTTTGCCTCCCAAGTAGCTGGGATTACAAGTGTCAGTGACTATGCCTGACCTTTGGTATTTTTAAAAGTCAAACCAACACCTCAGTGAGGGTGCTGTGTGTGTACAAGAGAAAGGATGGATATGGATGCAGACTAAGAAGAGAGCTTAACTCAGAGCAGATCAGCCAAGGAATATGGAAGTGAAGACACCATTTAAAGCTTATGTCTACTTTTATGATCCTCTGTTTCAACTGATTTTTAAAATCTATTCTTAATCACAGACTGGCCCTAGCTGCTGCAGGTGGCAAAGTCTTCATTGTGCTACAGGCTCTGAGGATCCTGGAGAAAAGAACCATTCACCTTATTACTGAATTACACCAGGCTTGCCATATCCCAATGAAATTTCTTAGACTCAACCTCTGTCCTCCTCCTGGGTATGCACCTTCAAGCAACCAAGAGACAAAAAAACGAGCTTACAAAAATGGAAGTGATATTGGTGCCGGAAACCAAGAGCCCACATGGCCTGCCAGGCACTGTGAGGACCTGGTACTCACTGCTCACAGCAAGTCCTGACAAGTCAGGGCTACTCGTAATATGCTCAGATGGCATTGGTAAGACTGACATAAAAACATTTGTTTACTTTTAAAAACCAATCACCACCATAAGTGGCAAAGAGATATGCATTTTAAAGCTCAATTCATGACACAGGACGCATTTATAATCATTATAAAAGTCAAAGAGTAGTCAAATGTCTACCTCGTGCATCTTAATTAAGAAGTGCCACTAAATGTATGTTAAAAGCTTTAAAAAAAAAACAAACTTGGCAGTAAACCAATTAATAAAAATCAGGGTTTTGGAAGAAGGTGCTTAGTAAATCTATAAAAATATGACTGAAATGTAAACATGGAACTGAGTAGCTCCATTTGGCCTTTATTAAATTTTAGGCCTTCACAGATTTATTAAGATGAAACTGGTCAAAGAAGTATACTATTGCTTAGCTCTATAACTTACCCTCAAAATTGTTCCATCAAAACAAACAAAAAGGCACAGTTATTAATAGGGTATCTTATATAATCTCAGACTTAATTTTGCAATTCATTCAAGTGGCTTATTTTGTTCTTATGGATGTATTTCAAACGAAGAATTGCTACTTACAAAATAAATGTAAACTGATAAGAGTGCTTTGTTTTATAGGTTTTCTAAGCCAGAATTTTATATAAACTCATTTCTAAAAGTTTCACTGCTAAAAATGTGGGGTTTTTTTTTTGTTTATTTTGGTGGTACTGGGGTTTGAACTCAGGGCCTCATGCTTGCTTGGCAGGTGCTCTACCACTTGAGCCACTTGGCAAGTCCTGAAAATGTGTTTTTTGTTGGTTTTCTGTGTGTGTGTGTGTGTGTGTGTGTGGTACTGGTTTTTTAACTCAACTTCATGCTTGCTAGGTAGGTGCTCTACTGCCTGAGCCACACCTCCAGTCCTTTTTGCTCTGGTTATTTTAGAGATAGAGCCTCACTTTTCACCCAGGGCAGCTTGGATGGAGATCCTCTTATTTTAGACTTTCCATCTTAGCAGGGATGACAGGCATGCACTACCATCACATTCAGCTTGTGCTGAGATGGTGTCTCATGAACTCTCCCCTTCTCCCCACCAGCCTGGAACCACTATCCTCCTGATCTCAGTCTCCCACAAAGCTGGGATGACAGGCGTGTGCCAACATGCCCAGCTTGTTTTTGTGTTGGTTTGTTTGGAGATGGGCTCTCACTACGTAGCCCAGGCTGTCCTGAAACTCTTGATCCTCCTGCCTTAGCTTCCTGAGTGCTGAGATTACAGGTATGTCCCACCATGCCCAGGTTTTAAGACCACTAACTCTGACATTAGAATCATTCCTTGCTCTTGAATAACCCTCTTCACTGGTATCCACAGTCTCCGGAACATCTCATATTTCAAGGATAAGAGCACATGCTAATTGCAAGCCTCCAGGGCACCAGCAGGGCCCCTGGGGCATCTGCAATCAGGAACAGCATCACCCAGGCTCAAAATCATTCTGTAGCCTGATGGTGAAGTTTCCACTCTATCAAGTCAGGTGCAGGTCTGAGAGCTTGAGAAAGAGAAAGAAAGAAAAAGTGGGCACATCTGCACCTTGCTGAAGTCAGGTGGGTAGATGGCTGGTGGCAGGACCTTGAGGGCCTTTCAGTCCTTCTTGCAGCCCAGCAGAGGGGCTAACAAGAAGCTATCAGGACTGACACAGTTTTGCTGATTGGCCTGGATATGATTTTGATGAGGAGAGACCTAGGTCTGCACGCGCCTGCTCAGGCGTGGAAGGTGCTTTACCTGTTTTTCTGAACTGTGTTGGCAAATATTCTGTCTTCATATCTCTGTCGAGCAGCATTGCCACCAAACCCAAGAAACGTAGCC